TTGTACACATATGATGAGCCCTTCGTTGGGCGGGATGCCTCCATGTTCCGAATGACCAGTCCCTGCGCCTGTGATGCCGTCCAACGCCTAAAATGCATGTCGATGTCCCAAATTACCACATCCCGTCGTGTTCCAGTTTCATGGGTTCCTCTCCGTTGGTTGAAGGTCTTAGCGATAGAACTCTCCGCGCTTGATGTTGACTCCATATTCGCCTACTGCCATACCCAGGTCCTCCATAGTAAGCACGGTGCGTCCTTGATTGCCACCCTGGCCTCCACCTCCATATCCTGGTCGCTGGATGCCGAGATTGTAGTCCTTGGCCTTGGAGCCGCTATCCTTGCCGCCAGGCGCACCACCAGGCGCTGCTGCTGCCGGCGCTCCTCCTGCGCCACCCATAGGGTTGTTACTTGTGGTGTTGGATGATCTGATGCGAGAGAACTGGTAGGCGTCGGCTGCGATGTCGGCGATGAACTTCTGTGTCGCGAGCGCAAGGAGACGTGCGAGGTGTTGTGATGTCTGAGGTGGCGGTGGCAGACCGGCGCGTGTCAAGTAATAGTTGGTCACTGCATCGGGTATCTGGAGGCCTGGTTAGTGCGCGATGCTTGGGATGGAGACGGCATTTAGCATACGATCGGCGCGTAGTCATCCATCTTGCCTAGGAACTCGCGCAATGTTGCGTCCTTCTTCGCAGGTATGCGAGCCTCAAAGGCGGCGGCAGAGTCTGCCATGCCGTTGACCGCTGCGGGCTCTGCATCGTTTGCGCCGTCGAGGTTCATAGCGTCGGTTTCCAGTCGTGTCGCGTCTTGCTTGATCTCGTCGTCCACCGTCTGGTCTAGTTCGTCGTTGACCTCCATGTTCGTGTCCGGAGGTTGAGAGTTGGTTTCGGACATAGTTGCGATACGAGTGATATGTGTTGCGACGTGGTAGTGCGAGGTATGACGTGGGGTGGTTTGTTCGGGTTGCTGACTGCGGAGACAAGCGCGGGAGTGACGCGCCAAGCAGCAGGGGCGGTCACGTGACCGTCAGGGTGATTGAGTGAGCTACCTTCACTGCACATGGACTCTACAATCACGTACAATAGCTATGATCGCGTGGATCTAAAGAGTCGCAGTACTTGTGTTATTGCATACATCTTATGCTACTTATGATTCCTTAGTGATCCTGCATCAGGATCGGTTACGCCCCGTTCGGGTACTCCGGTCCTGGCGGAAGGCGTTCGCACTACGCCTGGATGGGCAACAACCTCAACGTCCATCCTCTGCTGTCATCTTTCGCTGAACTTCCCAGTTCCCTAGCAATAAAGCGACGAAGCGCAGAGCTGAAGTCGGATGGAGTGCAAAGGAAGAAGTAATACCTGTGAGGGGAGATTTGATGGAACTAATGCAGATGTGCTCAGGGAAGTCAATGCGGCACCCCGCAGAGCCTCAGCCAGACCTCGGAAGATTTCTGGAGCCAGGAGCGTAACAGCCTACGAATTGTCTTTCGCGCACGAACCCAATGAACGTCGCCGACAACGACACCGTGACGGGTATTGTGCGAGTCCCGCCTGTCTCTTGACATAGGGCAGGTGTGCAGCAGTCACGAAATCCTCTTTGTCCACGACGTCGGTACGAGCGAGCGCTGAAGATACATCCAACATCAACAGCAGATGTAGCACACACATGGCCTGTCAGATAAAGGGTCTCGCGCGTAGTCCCGTGTCGGAAGGCTTGTCTACCGTGACAGCGTCAGAACGTTGCGGGAAACTCATCTCCTTCCCCACAAGCTCAGGCAGTCTTGTGCCACCATGTCATCCTTGTGTCACCGCTCTCACCGGAACCGTGGATGCTACTGAGTCGCCGACCTGACGATACTGAACTAAGTACATCTACCATCGACATTTAGCCTATCATTACACGGGCTTGAAGAGGGGGTACGGCGCCGACCACCGAGACGGCAAGGGCGAAGAGCACAAGGTCTGGCAATTCTGGTACGAGCAACACGCGCTGCCACCTCACGAACACGCGAGCGATGCCTATAGCCGGATGGAAGGCTATACTCTCGTACGAGGACAATTCAAGCACGGACTGGAAGAATATCTGTAAACGCTCCCAGAGCGGCCGACCAGCGCAGCGAGATACGCTATTGCGCCTTGCGCAAGAAAGCTTGTGTGGCAATTGAGACATGCTTCGATACAGATGCTGCATCCAGCTCCATGATGCGAGACGCCTTCACGCCTTCCAATTCGAGAGATAACTAGCCGGATCCAATTTTGTGAGTAAACCTGAAGGGTCTTTCTGCCGCTTGCTGATCTGATCCCACAGTTTGCTCAGATACGTAATTTTGCATTGTATCCGTACTAGAGCCTTACCGGTATGGTGGTAGGTCGGCGATCTTACAAAATCGTACCATAGCAGATAAAGTGCTTTCTACCAAGAAAGCTTCGCATCCTTCCCGTGGCCCGCGTCCGCGTCATGCCTCACCCGCTCTTGCATCCGTAGCGCTGACACTGTTTTGAGGCGTTCACTTTATTACATCCATTCCCCAATTGTGCAGACGTTGTACCACCGCAACCTGATCTAGATCTGGGGGCCTTACGTCTGCATGTCCACAATTCGGGTGTCTAGCGCAACGCATCTATATTGGAGATAAAAAATGGTCTCCGAGGCCTGACGCTAATTACCCGGCTAGGCTAGCCCTCTGTAAATTACTGGAGACAGCTGTGGCGCATGCGTTGGCCTTGGCCCCACCAGGCGAGGCTTGTAATCCACTACCACCATCTCATCAAAACGATGAAGACGATATTGTGCACAAACATCGCAGTAGCTGCTTGGGTGTCTGATCAAATTCTCCAGAACCGGAATTACCGAACTCGTGTCAAGATCAGCCACTACACCGGTTCGTTACAATGATTCCAAGGTCATCTTCATGAGATAGTGCCACAGCACCACACCGTCGTGTAGCGTATGGACAAGCCTTGCATCCGCCGCGACTACTAAGGCCCGCTCCGCACGCTACTGTCAGGCGTTCCCCTTTACTCCGGTGGACAGTATCCCTGTTGCAAACCGCGAAGACGACCCATGTGTAGAGTAGAGGCATGCTGGTACTCGGGGCCGTCGATACCACAGTCAAACCTGACCCACGTCGCACAGCAATCTACACTCGAATCGACCGGTTCGTCTCTAGGGCTTACACGGACTTCCATGCCGGTTTCACTTCAAATAAAGACCTCATGCAAGGCCTCCAACGTTGACATCACATTGAAGCCTCCTCGGCGTTCATCTCTAGGTAAACTCATCGCAGGAACGTCGCTCTATGGATGGAGAAGCCCGATGGGCCGATATCTACTAACGAGAACGCAAGGATAATCCACTTCGTGGAGGGCCACAGCGTCTCGAAGATTGTTTTCGGCCCACGACCAAGCAGTGCCAGCCTCTCGATGGCTAGACTCTCTCCACCAGGGCTTTCTGCCATAGCTCTCAACTCAAGCACCGGGAGTCTAGTATAGCCATCCTCCATCTATAAAGCAACCTGCCTCCCTCTTCTCAATTCTTCATCCACTCACTCCTCAAACCACTTCATTCACTCTACAACCGCAAAGCTCAACCCGCAAACCTTCAACATGCAGTTCACCCAGATCCTCCTCCTGGCCATTGCGCCTTTCATGGTCGCCGCCACCCCAGTCGACGCTGAGGGTGTCACTTCCGTCAACAGCTTCCCCCTCGAGGCCCGCGGCGGCAAGGACTTCTGCGGAAGTGATCTGCGCTCTGCTGGCGGCGCTTGCACCTTCGGTGGCGGCGAGAACGACCCCCACGCTTGCGGTGTCAAGGACAGGCAGGTTGTCGTAAGTGTCTCCAACGAGTAATCTGCAAAACTGAATGCTAACAATTGTAAAGTTGTACTGCAAGGGCGGTATCTGGACCATCGACCACCGCTGCGCAGCTGGTCAGATTTGCAGGTGCAACAAGGGTACTCCCAAGCGTGGCGACCTGGTTTGCAAGTCTGGTTAAATTACTGGTTGCTTTTCAGTCACAAGTGTTAAAGAGTGGAGTTTGAGGATTGCCAGGACGTGTGGTGGAGAAGTCTCTCATTCAAGGTTACATACCACCAATTTATTTGACAACGCCCTGTCACAATGAAATCGTTCGAGAAATCATCATACTCATCATCATGTTCAAAGATCTTCGACTCCCGTGCTCCTGCTCCTGCCATATCGCTCAGACCGTATTTCTACATGCTTTTTGCACGACTGCGCGTTGTGTCTAATCGCTCCACAGTTTCAGAGCTCCACTTAGCAATCTAGACTCTTTCTAAAAAAGAGGTGGTGGCTACGATTGGTAGTTATCATATCATGGTTCCTTGGTACAGAGAGTGAGTACCCAGGTAGTTGCTGATAGCATCGCGCGCACGGACACGGCAGGCGCGGAGGGGCCAATCGGAGTGGTTGTGCCCCAACTACTCACAATCATCAGATCTCTCCACGACGCGTTCTCCACTTCACCTCGCGGGACTCATTATCATTTTGACAACCGAATCTACATGCGATCCTATAGAACATATCAGAAAGCAAACAGGACGATTTCGACTGGCTTCACCACGAATTGGTCCGGAACCCCCGCTTTGACAAACGCTCCGCAGCACCTGACCCAGGCAACGAGCCAGCTTCAAAATGAGGGTTCAGCCTTGTCCCAGCTGCACTCCCAGCTACGTGCACCCCCGGGCAGGACGGCGGCGTGTCATCAGTCCCTGCAGTAGCAACCTCGCGATTTCCTTTGACTGACACCCCATATCGACACCAGCCAAATCAACTTAAGATTGTGCTCAGGCCCCAATACATCAACAGAACTATCCAGACGCTGCTATAGCTCCTCCGCTACTGACCACAAACTGCGCATGATACCGCGCTGTTTCCGTTTTCCTCTAACATAAAAGCACCACGCTGCACCACGACACCAAACTGACAACGACTCTACAAGCCTTCTTGTGGAAGGAGCCATCTATCGGACAGCGTATCCCAAATCATGGCCGTTCTTACTGATCTGCCCCCAGAAATCCTAGAGCAGATCTTCCATTTCCTAGGAAGCATCGACGACGTTCACCATCTTGGGCGCACATGCACCAAAACCCACCATGTCATCAAAAAACGCAACATCTATCTCGAGATTATGCGCTCGATTATCTACTTCAACCCCCAACACCGCTACGACTTCCAGCTCAACAGAGCCCTGTTCCTCCATTCCAAAATCGTTGGACACTTTCAACACCACGTGTCACGCTTGCCCGCCAGCCAACCTGGAATGAATAAGAATAACTGGGAGCATTATTTAAACAGTACGGCTAATGCATGCTGCTCGCCACAAGAATGGACAAATGATGCAATCTGTGACGTGCTAGCACGATACCAAGGGTTACGCGTGTTGGAGAACACGTGGATGGAAAGGGAACTCCAAGAGGAAGACTTCCTGTCTGTAGATCATACCTCGGATGCCCAGCGGCTCGTGCATCGATTCAAAACGGTCGTTGGCCGTGGCGATGAGTTCACATACGACGATATGCCTCCACGCAATCCGGAAACGCCACACACCTGGGGTTATCGCAGTCTCAACGCCGATCAGAGGGGACGATTCTATGCAGCGGTGGTGTGCATCTGGCTTCTCAACGAGATCAGATGGGTGTTGACCCATTTCAGCTACCCGGCGAACTTCACTATCCAGATCGGGATCTTGGAGTCCTGCAAGAGCAGGATTGTAGCAGAGAAAGATACCCCACTGCTGGATGAACTGGACCGTCACGCTGTATTTGCTTTCATGTATCAGCATGTACTTCCACTCCATGCCCTATACTTCGCCGACGCCAGTTCTTCGCACCTACCCTTCACATTCGTCTCCGACTTCTCCAAGGACATGGCTCACTGTCCCAGGTACGTGTCTCGCATCAACAACCCCATCTCATGCAACACCCAATTGTATATGTACTAACCACCGCGACAGACTACTCCAACTCTTCCTAATGTCCGGCCAAACTTACTTCCAACCCCCCGACCTAATCGACCTCATCGTCCGCTCCAAGGCATCCCGCCGCCGACCTTACACCCACCTCCACACACCCTGTTCAACCTTGCTATGGAGACACCCTCGACGAACTCACTTCCAGGCCTACAATGACCTCTGCAACGAAACCAAGAAGGCGCATATCCAGCATATGTCGACGCGGCATCTCACGCTCATCACGCGCTCTTCCTTCCACCAATCGCGCTACGATATGAGCCAAGGACTTATTCGTGCTCCGGCGCTTGGCGAGGCGTTGTTCAGAGTACCGGATCACGCGAAGCGGTATTTCTATGATCGCGCTATGGTGGCCTTTGAGATGTGGGAGACGAAGCGGACGGGGTTGAAGGATATACGGACTGTGTTTCCTAAGAAGTGGGAGGAGATCAGGTGGTGCATTTGGTGGTGGGCGGGCAGTGAAGAGAAGGCGAGGATGAAGATGGAGAGGTTGAGGGAGACGGTGGGGTCGCAGTAGGGTGAATCTTTCCTGCTATGCATCATTGTTGGATCATCAACGGGGGATGTTGATGGACGAATGTCGGACGATGGTTGAAAGGGAAAAATTAGGAAACAGCTTTTCATGGTCGAGACAAGGCTCCATGAGGTCAGTGAATGCGACATTCGCATATTGCATATCCGGGGTACATAGCTGCTACTACTTACGGTGCCGAATATCGAATGCGAAAACACAAAAACATAAAAACAGCTCAACAACTCGGACAACTTGAATCGTCAACAAGATTCAGTTTCCTGTTATAGTTTGCATGTCCCATCATGTGACGTGACTATTTCCGCCCGGGGGTATGTGGTCTAAAACGATTGCGGGCCGGAGCGAGGGCAGTGTGGCTGGGATTGTGGCTGTCGCCAAAAGGAATCAACGATCTAAGGCCCGAAACTTCTAAGCCTCGGGCCTAAATATTTATGAAATTAGAACAAGGCTGCAATCATGACGCAACTTCTATCGATCATGGATGATACCTGAGATACGCAGGTTAGGCATCCTTTTGACATCATTGTGGCTTGCTTGTTGCTAGACTGTTTGAGAATGACTCTCAATTTACGCGTACTTGGATGCCGAGGCGCATTCGGCCTCGAAGCGTGGCGGAACGTCCAAACCCCATGGCATGAACACCATGTCGACGTTGACGTGCAGCAACACGCGCCATGGTCTTGCTTCATAGAGTTAAACCATTTACAACGGGATTAGCATCCGCAGCTTATCAGTTCCAATGCATCGGGTACAGCGGCTAGGATGGGTGAAGACATAGTGGTGCTCTTGGTAGAGCGGAGAAGGTGGACAGTTGAGGACTAGCTGGCCAGGCATAACTATGAAGACTTGTATATCGCAGACAGACAATACGGACTGCGTGGGAGCTCGCGGCAGAAATCGGGAAGGTCAATGGCCGGTATTCCGTTTTCCCGTAGGCACAGGGATCGATAGATGGCTCGCTCGTGCTGCCGACCATTGGCATAGGAACGTGAAAGTGCCGGCACAACACGGCCCTCACCGAGGCGCCCGATGTCCCAAGATCCAAGGCCAATTGGGTGCAAGCAGGTGCGCTGACATGAGCAGACGGCGAGATTTGCTGTTTGTTGGAGCGCAGGCAGCCATGTATAAAACAGCTTTTGGCAAGTGAGGGGTCGAAGATACTCGCGAGACGTCATTGGCGTGTAGAAGCGCGTCAACTGCGCTGCTGGAAAGTGAATGCAGAACCACGATGAATGCGAGGGCTGTCAACGCAGATGCAGCCATAGAACAGGCCAGCGACATGTCAGCTGCTAGCAGCTACACGGCGGCTCTCGGGCCCTGGGCGAGGGAGAGTGGTGAATGCGCCGAAGTAGCGTAGGCTGTCGGGTTCTCTTAGAGCACCACCTTAACGAAGAAAAATTCGCGCTTGAGAGTGACCCTCTTTCTCCCACCTACGCTTGCTTCTCCCGCACACACGACAGCCAATTTTCTTGCCTGGCGCCCCGTCTGCCTTGATCACGTCGCATCCGACCCTCAGACGCCGCCTCAGCCCGCTCCGTCGCTGTTGCACGCACGCCAGACGAGCCTGTACCGCAACCCTCGTGTGCCTGGAGCCCGTACCTTACTGCACCCTCCAACCCTCATTATCCGCCCGCAACCCACCGCCCACCCCGAGCACTCCGCCGACGCAGTCACAGCTGCCCTCTCTGCGCGCCTGCCCACCCCGCCGCCCACGCAGACTCGCTCCAGAGGTTAGTTCCGCCCACAGCACCGCCCACGCCCGCCGCACGCTTGCTTCCTGCCTGCCTTGCTCCCCGCCTCGAGTTTGCTCGGCACGCTGCGCAACCCTCCTCCCCTTCTCCGCCTTGCAGCCTCTCCCAGTTGCGCTCTGTCTTTCACTCGCGCTCCTTCCCGCTTAGGCCTCGGCGGCCCACGCAGTTATTTCGACTTGTCGTGCGCTCGCTCCCAGACCTCCACCAGAACTCCCCACGTCACTTGTTTCCACCACCACGCCTCATATGCTTCCCACACTGCGCTTGTAGCACCTGTGTCCTTCGCTAACCCCCGTCACTGCAGTACGCGCAATTACCGTCACCGTCGCCAAACAGTGAAGTAGGAAGCATCTACTTTCCTCACGTTGTGCGAGACCGCCTCTGTACAAAACCCTCGTCCAGCACACTGCCCAGCTCTCCATCAGTGCAGAGCTATATCGTCGCCGCACCGCTTAGTCGTCAACGCAAGGCTTGGTAGCAGCAAAGAGATTTGCGTGCGGGGAGGTCAAGAGCAACCTCTCCGGACATACCAGCGTCAACACCTGTTGGCCAGCTTGCCGCAGCGCTCCCATCGGGGACCCTAAGCGCTTACTCTCGTCTTACCAGCCGGACTTTAGTCGAGATCCACACAAATTCCAAAATGGCCTCCACATTTTCATATGCGCAAGCCGCGAAGGGCGTCGTCACGCCTGCCACCACGAGCAAGTCGGCATCCGGCTCTGCTACACCAGCCAAGGACGGCAACGGCGCATCTGTCCCAGAGACTAGCGCGTCACCCAGCAACTGGGCCGAAGACGTCGAGTCGGAGTCGCGCCCTGAGCAGCCTGCGAAAACCCGCGAGGCGCGCCCTGAGCAAGCCGCACCCAATGTGGTCAAGGTTTCACAACCCGTAGATGCCTCCAACATATCCTCGCCGGATATGGGAGCCTCCACTTCGTCGACAGTCACCAAGGACGACGACGTATCCTCGATACCGAACACCTCATCGGAGTCAACCACCTGGGATAACAAGTCTCAGGCCTCCACCTCGGTTGATAAGTCGGTTGAGCCAGTCGAGAAGACCTCTGACAAGGTCAAGAAGGCCAAGAACGTGCCTGCTAAGCCTCTCCAAGAGGCGCCTGTACCGACTGTGAACCCTTGGAAGATACGAGCGGACACGATCAAGTCTCAAGTGCAGAAGGTTGCGCCCCAAACAACTCCCAACGGAGTGTCCCATGGAGCAAACGGAGTTCAGGCCAAGAACGGCGACTCAAAATCTCAAGAGAAGATTACAAACGGCGAGAGCAGAAACAAGGGCCGAAAAGAATTCAAGGGCGACCTCGATGTGAGGAACGGTGCTAAGGGCAGGTTCCCCGAGAAGGATGCCAAGGCAGCTCCGGCTTCGAGCGCGCTGCCTCCTCCACCGAACCGCGACCAGGAGTCATGGCCGACTCCCGAGACCGTCATCGACGAGGATCGCAAGAAGGCCCAAGAGAAGGGCGAGAAGGAGCAGAAGGAGCGCAAGGATGGCGCTTCGACTAGCAAGCATGAGTGGGTGAAAATCCCCTACACACCAACAGTTGTGTTCAACACGCCTTTGCCAAACGCGGCAGGCGCCAGGAGAGGTGGCCGTCCCGGAGGACGCGGCGGAGCAGTGAACGGTGGCAGGCCTACTAGCTTTGGCAACGGTGCTGAGCAAATCGAGAAGGATGGATTCGCACCAAACGGCGAACAGACGAGGCGCGAGCGCGCTGAGACAGCTACCCAGGATGCGTCTCCCAAGGCAAAGCGTAACGGCAGCGCAGATGCCCCTATACTTAACGGCCAGGCCCCTGTAGTCAACGGCGACGCCACTGGCAAAGCCGCTGGCCCCGTACCCTCCGAGTCTGAAGCGCAGCCCAGGAGATCGTCATTGTCCAATGTGCCCGCTCAAAACGGCGCTTACCAACGTCAGTACCCCAGCAAGCCCCACAAGGGCCGCCGAGGCGAATTCCACGGTGCCGGAGAGCGAAGGAGAGATGGCGCATCCTCACCTACCAAGGATAACACCTGGGGTGAGCGTCAAAATTCTGCTGGAACGCAGACAGACGCCGCTGGAGATGGTGAGCGTAGAGCGCACGCCTTCCAGGACGGCTCCTCGCATGGCCATTCGAAGCGCTTTAGTTCGTTCTCTAACGGCCGCGAACGTGGCCGCGGAGGTCGTGGCGGCCGTGGTAACTACGCCAATGGACACCACTTCACCAACGGGCACTCCACGTCGAGCTTTCCCTTGGGCCCACGATCGCCCACAACCTTTGTACCTGAGAGCAACAGCTTCTTCCCCGCGCCTCACGGCAAATTCGGTCGCAACAATCACCGTTCACAGTCATTGACCACCGATCCATACAGGTATCCACCGTTCCAGCCCGGGTACCCGGCTCCTATTCAAACGTCGCATGAGATGTATCCTTATGGAATGCCTGCGCCCATGAGCGCTGGATTGCCGTACAGCCCATACGGCGTCGATCAGTACTCGGTCTTCGCTATGATCACGACCCAAGTGTATGCTTTTTATCCGCCCGTCACAAGAAACATGCTAACAGATTACAAGGGAGTACTACTTCTCTGTTGATAACTTGATCAAGGACTTGTACCTACGTCGCCACATGGACTCTCAGGGATTCGTTGCTCTTGAATTCATCGCCGGTTTCAACCGCATCAAGAGCCTGTCTCCTGATATCGACATGATCAGGCTCGTCTGCCAACAGTCTGCCACAATTGAGTACCGCACCAGCGAGAACGGTCAGGACCGACTACGTCGCAAGGAAGGCTGGCAGCAGTGGGTTCTTGACATGGCCGAGCGTGATCCCTCTGCACAGAACGAGGGACCAAAGGAGCTGAACCAGCCTCAGGTCTCTCGCCCTGCAGGCTTCGACCCGTCCAACCCTCCTCAGTGGTCGGCCATGTCCCCAGCATTCAGCCCGTTCGGTAATGAGGGCGCGTATCCCCAAATGAACGGTTTCCATCCCGTTGCCCAGGATGCCGGGTCAGTGCCGGCGGAGACGAATGGTGTGGCTGCCGAAGAAGTGAACGCGGCCGTCTCGAATGGTCACCCAATCGAGAGCTCGACAAAGGCTGTGAGTGGAGATATTCCTGATTCTTTTTCCGACTTGCAACTCGACAGTTTGACAGTCGTCATGCGCAAGCAACCCCCGTCGCAAATGTCGTTGCCTCCTTCCGTTTCCCGAACGTTTTCTAATGGCTCCATCGATAGTAAACATGGCGTGCCAGATGAGCCGGAGAAGCCTATCACCTGCCAATTGAGGGTCAACGGTGCCGGAATAACTGATGGGTAAGTTGCCGTTTCAGAGGAGCTGAATGTATGCGCTAATCACGTCGATAGTAGCCCTGAGAGCCATCTTTATCACCCACAACTCGACACCGACCCGTTCCGATCGACTTCTCCAATCGCCCCTGTTCGCCTCTATTGGGTCAAAGATCACCACAGCCCAGTTCACACCATTCCTTCTGATTCATCGCATGAATCGTATTTTCACCTTCGATCCAAAGCTCTTCATCAGCGTTCCAACGCACCCCTCGGCACAACCCCTTACGACATGAACGTTCTTTACCAATTCTGGTCGCATTTTTTGATTCGGAATTTCAATCAATCAATGTATGACGAGTTCCGCCATTTGGCTTTCGAAGACGCCGCCCACCGGAGGACGGATACTGGCATTTCCAATCTTACCAAATTTTACGGCGAGTCTTTGCTTTCGCCACAGAGCGTGATTCGACAGCGGGTAGCTTCAGACTTTGTTGAACTGATCAAGACCGAAGACGAGCGACGTGCAGCTTTCGATCAGCTGAAAGCAGTTTATCGCAGCGGCAGCATGGACCCTCGAAGCCGACAGCGTATTGATGATTTGCTTGATGCAGATACCTTGGCTCTGTTGACACCGCCATGATGCTTTCAGGGTGCTGTCGCAACTCTGTCGTACGAGCCAAGGTTTATGCATGTCTTCGTCCCGGTCTTCGGTCTTGTTGCTTCTCATCTTCCCCTTGCGAGTTTTCGGACTGTGTATACATTGACAAAAAGTTCATGTTCTGGCGTTTTCTACCCGGTCGGCGGCCGACCAACTGTTTTTTCCTCCTTCGATAGAATGCCCTCGCGTCTCGGAAACCTTTTCCTTTAATGTTCACACGAATTACCAATCCCACAATACGAAATACCCTTCTCAGGAATATCTGGCTTTTCCCCTCTTTTCCCTGGATCTAGGGGCCCCGTAGCATTGAAAGCTGGCGTTTTTGTGTGTGTCTACCTTTTGCATGTTCATCCGACTCAGCATACAAAACTCGATGGCAGCTTTCTCTCCCCTCAGGCATATATGGTAATCATGTTCTTCCTTTACTTATAGGTGGATGTGGTTGCTTGGGAGTCTTGTTTTCCATGAAGCAAAGTATATAAGCGGATGTCAGGTCTGCGGATGTGGCTTTTGCTTTGTAAAAGTACGAAAATGAATACCTTCTGTTCCTGGTATTGAGCTTAGACCCGTATGGTGAAACCTTACCTCGATCTTCCAGGTGTCGCAGGATGATACGCTCATGTATCGTGAAGTGGTTACTGGTGTCGACTCGCATGGCTGGTACTCCGATTCCGGTGCTTTACTTCAGTCGCTACCATTCAATCCCTCACGAGATTTGCATCCGAGCACACTCCGCCAGGCAACAGCAGCGCAACATGACTAAATCACTGCGCCATCAAGCAAACGATGTTTGGAACTTGCAGCGGTAGTTTACAGGCGGAGAAGATCAGGCTTCACTTCACTTGAAACGAAAACCAGGGTGCGGTGAGTGAGTTGGCATGTGATCGTCGTCATTGCTCGGCGTTCCAGACCAATGGTGCCGATCGGTGGCGACATTGACCCTGCGCCTCATTAACGTCGCCGTCCCCACAGTTGGACGCATCACCACTCTCTCCTCTCTTGGAACACACAATCATCATGGCACCTGCCGTGGTGCATCTGTATAATTCGGTGGCCAAGAACGCGAGAGCGTTCAAGTAAGTTCGCAACACTATTCGACGAGGTCGCGTACTGACAGACGAAGGGCTGCCTGGAAACATGCTGCGAAACTCGTACAGAAACAACTACCAGAATCCGCACGACCTGCCGATGCAGTACTACAACCTATCCTCGCTCGGAATGCCCCAAAGCATCCTCTTCACCGCATTGCCTACCTCAAGCAGAGCAAGGGCCGATGGTACACCACCCACAGCCAAATCAGCGCCGCCGTCCGTCGCTTCACCACCTCTGCAGCTCGCAACTCGGGCGTGAAGTATGACAAGGCCTCCTTCCCCAAGTCACGCATTGGAAGCATCGTCAACGCCCAGGCCGGCCGCGCACCCTTCGCATCGACCCTGCGCCCGAACCTTACCGGTGGCGCATTTGGACGAACTGCAGGAGGCTACGGCTGGGGCTCTGGCAGGGCCGGAGGCGCGCGTTACTTTTCGCATGGACCCGCATCGCCCGCCCAAGTCATCAACAACGTTTCTCAGGCTGTGCGAGCGTTCCTCGTCGGTGGACAGAAGGCTCAGTTCGATGGCGTCAACCCTCACAACGGCGAGAAGCGCTTCAAGACTGTGTCCGCGCTCCAAGACCAGGTCAACCGTACGCTGAACAAGGTTCCCAAGGCCACCCCTGGATCCTACATCAGCTTCAACGTTAACCCCACCGTCACCGCTCTTACTCCCCTCAAGGCCGTCAAGGGCTTCACCTCGTTCGCACAGGAGAAGGAGACACTGAACAGCGAGGGTCTCCTCGATGTCCTGTCCGTCGACTTCTCAAGGGCCGTCAAGGAGCTCGCAGCCGTTTTCAACGATCTGCAACGACTGGCGGCACTAGGCGATCTTCCCATTTCGTATGAAAACTCGGTCCTCAAAGTACACTTCCCCGGATGCGATGCGCAAACAGTGGAGACGATATGCAACGATTTTGAGGTCTCCAGAGGCGTAGTTCATCAGGATGCGGACTTTGACGCTTTTGTCGGCACCGACATCGCGTTACTCTTCCCCTTTGCACCAAGCCAAACACCCTCCGAATGTTCATTCTACGACAAGCCCGTTGCGGAGCGCCAACACGTGCAACCCAATATCGACTGGACGCACATGCTCTCGCCATCGCTCGCGGCTTCAGAAGACTTCTCGACCCATTCAGAACAAAGTTACGACCAGCTAGACGACTTTGAAACTGAGCCAAACCCGTGGTTATCCTCTTCGTCCCCTTCAGGATACGATAGCTTGCATACCAGTGAGGCTGATGAAATGGACATGCATACCCCGTTGGAATACCAGGGCGTTGAAGGCATGTACAGGTTCATGGCTCAGTGCGAGTCGCGATAGATGGGCATAGGAATGGTTTGACGAATGATGATACCTCTTGGCTTAGATTGTTAGAATAGCGTTTTGGATATTTTCCTCTCCTTTGTAGAATCGAATCAATAAACCAAATAACATTAAAACGCTAGACTATACGATGTGTAACGGTCATCAAAGCTATCGCAATGATGCCGTACACTAGAATGACCAGCCCGAACCAGTATCAGACCGCAGTCTGAGTCAAAGGCGCACTCTATTCATTCTGGACCCGCAGGAGTTCAGTACAGCAAAACCAAGAGTCATTATGAGCATGGATGATTCATCTCGACTCACGGTGCTGACAGGCGACATCCGCATCATCATCATCATGCCAGCTAGCCGAGCGGCATGGTTCCGTCTCTGCATTAACCGGAAGAGGCAGGGCCTATCGAGCGGTTTAACGTAACAAGTTCGGGTTATGAGTTTATTTCCGGACAAGGGCGTAGGGACATGTCGACCTCCACTTTTTTTTTGCTTGCTTCCTTACTCTTCAACCGAGGGAGGCGCAAACATGACTCTTAACATGTTCGCACGCGTTTGTAAGCTGGAATCTGTGTGTGTCTTGGTGCGCAGAAGTGTGTAGGTGATTGTTTTACGGATTTGAGACAATTGAGAGATTGGAAAGAGCGGGATTGTGCGATTGGGAAGGATTGTGCCGTGTGATACCGTATTCCCGGGAGAAGGCGAAGACGAAGAGAAACGACGAACGAAGACGAGTAGGATTTGGCAAGCGTGAAGATGGAGATGAAAGCACCGCAACGGGAGAAACAGGAGGGAGTCAATGGACATGTAAGAAACGACATGTCAACATCAGAAAAGAGCATGACCAATGCGAACACACAGCCGGATATCCACACAACGACCAACACTCCACAATCCATGCCAGAAACCTCGCCAACCCATCAACCTTCTCAAGCATCAAAATCAAACAAGACTGCCTCTCCCCCGGATACTCACCCAGTCGACGTGCCCCCCAACGGCGGCTACGGCTGGATCTGCGTCGCCGCCGTCGCAACGATAAACGGGCATACCTGGGGCTTAAACTCCGCCTACGCCGTCTTCCTCGCACACTACCTCTCTACCTCCACTTTCCCAGGCGCAACACCGCTCCAATACGCCTTCATCGGCGGGCTATCCATCTCCCAGGCGCTCATCGTCTCGCCCGTAGCCACATACACAACCCGGCGCTTCGGCACCCGAACCACCCTCTTCATCGGCGTATTCTTCGAAACCGTGTCCTTCATCGGCGCGTCCTTCGCGTCGTCCATCTGGCATCTTTTCCTGTCCCAAGGCGTGTGTTTCGGATGGGGAATGGGCTTCCTCTTTGTGGGTTCCGTGGGCATTGCTGCGCAGTGGTTTACCACGCACCGTAGTCTGGCGAATGGGTGTTGTGCAGCCGGGAGTGGGCTGGGCGGGCTGATATATAGTCTTGCGGCGCAAGCGATGATTAGGGATATCGGGTTGCCGTGGGCGTTTCGCACGCTGGCTGTTGTTGCGGGGGTCGTGAATAGTGTTTGTGCGTGTGTGATTCGGGATCGGAATAAGGAGGTGGGGAGTAGGCAGGTATGTTCGCTGTTTCTATTCTTTGTTGTTGGGGATGCGGATGCGAGTGAGGATACAGCAGCAACGGTGGCTTGTATCTTTCATCCAACGCACATCCCAAGCACCAGCTCAAAAAGCTCCATCACAGCCAACGCAACCCTCATACTGACATTCCAATAGGTCAGCTTCGACTACACCCTCTTCAAAAAGCCCCAGTTCATCGGCCTCCTCGCATTCGGTGTACTAAGTATGTTGGGCTACATAGTTCTCCTCTTCAGTCTTCCCAGGTACGTTGTCGCCACACGGAATGCACGAGAGACATACAACTGACCCCGTATCTTCCACCTCTATAGCTACGCCCGCACAATCGGCCTAACCGCCAACCAAGGCAGCATCATCGGCGCCGTCTTCAACCTGGGCCAGGCCCTCGGCCGGCCCCCCATAGGCTACTTCTCCGACTCCATAGGCAGGCTAAACATGGCTGGCAGCATGACGTTCCTCGTCGGAGTCTTTTGCCTGTTAATCTGGATCTTTGCAAAGAGCTTTGGTGTGTTGGTTTTCTTTAGTTTGGTGGGGGGTTGCGTGGCGGGCACGTTTTGGGCGACGGCGGCGCCGGTTACGACCGAGGTTATGGGGTTGAGGGATTTGCCGAGTGCGTTGAGTATTACTTGGTTGGTGTTGGTGTTGCCTACTACTTGTGAGTCTGCGTTGTTCTTTCACCCGAACCCTCCCTCTATTTCGCTTTCAGGGTCGTATTGTCCCACTGGGGATATTCGCTGACGTGGGATAACAGTCTCCGAACCCATCGGCCTCGAAATCGTCGCGTTCAACGGAGGGAGCTATACCGGTGCCATCCTCTTCACGGGCTGGATGTACATCGGCGCTGCGGTTTGTCTGTGGATGGTGAGGACGTGGAAGATTGGTGAGGATGAAGAGGATGCTGCGGCGGCTGCGAAGGGGGGCGTTGATCCCGCTGTGGCTGAGACTGAGAGCTTTCAACGGAGTCCGTTTGTGAAGAGGATGTTTATGATTCGGAAGGTTTGATATCATGCTAAAAAAGACATCCTTTCCAAGCATAGGACGAAGTAGTATGACATAGCACAAATGACACATATCACCTGACTCCCTCTAAGCCTGTACAGTCATTCGAAGCTCCACTCAAACACCTCAATTTTCAAAAAGAACAGTATATATTACCCAATCTGATATCCAACTACTTCCAAATCCCAAAACCGCGCACCTTCCTTCCCTCCACCCAGTATCCTCCCTCCCGTTCATTCCCCAACCATACATAAGAAAAAGCTATATAACCAGGAGAAATCTGTTGTGTTGTATACAATTTGAGCTATGAACTTCAGAAAAACGGTCTTGCGGGGGTATATATTCCAATAGCCAACCTAAGTCGCTGTGCTGTGCTGTAAAACGACAGGAAAGAAAAACGCGAGCAAGCAGAACAAGCAAGCATTAAGGTAGGTAAACAAGCGCAGAACCCATGATAAGGCAGCGACAGAAAACGCTCGTATAGAGCAGCAGCGGCAAAGCAACGCAAAAGGAAAAAACTTCTTTAACAAAGGAAAAGGTTGTTAGTTTTGCAGTTTCGTCGTTCTTGTTTGTTTTGTCATGGTGGCAGAATCTACCGTTGTTGTAGTTCCCTTCCAAAGTTCAACGCTAGTGGCGTGAGTTCGCCATCAACAGTGCTTTCATCGTCGTAGAAGCCGCTTTCGCTGAAAGGCTCGATTTCGGCGTCTTGGTCGTAGGCTTGCTTGCGCATCAGAGGTGGTGTGCGGGGCTGCTTGCCCAGGGCGGGGAAACCGGCTTCGGTTGACGCGCGCGAGCTGTTCGAGTTTGTGCGCAGGGGCTGAGGGCGCTGCGATGAGGATGATAGTTCCGAACCACGGCGGGCGTTGGAGGTTGGTGGTGTCATGAGGCCTGAGAGGAAGGACTGAGCGGAGTGAGGCTGCGCACGGGAGGGCGTTTGGGTTCGCGTGGTGGTCGAGGTGCCTGCGAGAGCGGAGGTAGCCTCGCCACGGCCCTTGCGCCAGTTACCGATGGCGGCAGCAAGCTGGACTGCTTTGGGGGAAGCAAAGTTGGAGAGCGAACTAAGAGTTGGGAGAGACTTTTGTCCGCCCGAGATGAGTCGCTCCTTCTCACTTTGCTCCATCTGCAAGTTGGTGCGGATGCGGATTGCGGCATCACGAACGGTCTCGCGATCGAAGGTTGGCTGAGCAAGGGAGTTGATGAGGTCGTTCAGGTCATCAACACGTACACCAAGTAGCTCACGGAGCCAGTTGATCTCAGTGTCGCGTTCCTTCAACTTGGCTGGGGCCTCAGTGTCAACATCTTCAAGCTGGCGCTCAAGAGCTTCGATACGTCCTTCACGCTCCTGTAGCTGCTCCTGGAGAACACCAATAGATTCGCGCAGCGCTTGGGGCGAGATCTTCTCTGCGCCGCTAGGAGCAAACGAAGAGGCAGACGTAGGAGACTTGGATGCTGCTGCAACAGCGGCATTGGCGGCTTCCTTCGCGACCTGAAGTTTTTCTTCCAGCAACGCGATCTTGTCCTTGAAGTGGTCGAGCTTGGAGTCAGCGAGCGCAAGCTTGTCGTTGTGGAAAGCATCAGCACGATCCTTGTCTTCACGAGCGAATTCCAGGGCGCGAGCATGCTCATGCTGCATGTGCTCAAGTTGGCGTTCAAAAGTGCGCTGCTGCTCCTGCAGGCTGTGTCTGTTGTTCTCGATCGCTTCCTGTACGGCTTGCTTCTTGAGGTCGGAAGCGGCCTCCAGATCCAGTTCGTGCTTCTCCTTGGCTGTATCAGCATCCAGGCGAACCTGGTCAAGCTCAGCGCGGACACGAGCGATCTCGCTCTCAAGCTCGTGGCGAACGATGTTGACTTGGTTGTTAGCTGCGTCAACATCGGCCTCCATAAGCACGCGGGTGCGGCGGATCTCAACGTGCGCAGCATCCCTAGCCTCGCGCATGTCACGCTCGTAGCGCTGGGCGTTCTTCTGGTGCTCCAAAGATTCCCTCCTCAGCTCTTCAATTGTCTCCTCAAGTCTGGCGTTGTGCTTCTGGGTTTGCTCGAGATGAATCCTGAGTCGCATACCCTCACGTTCCTGGGTCTCCAAGCGCTCGAGCTCCCTCTCCAGACGCTCTCGTGTGCGACCTTCGGCTTCAATGCGTGCACTGAGAACCTCGTACTTGGTTGCGGAGGCCTCCTCGTTCTTTTGCCATTGAGCACGCTCAGATGCGATCTGCTGTGAAGCGGCAACCATATCTTGCTGTAGCTTCTCGAGCTTGGTGCGCATCGACTCGCGTACTCGGGTTGCCTCCTCGGCCTGGAAGCGCGCCTCTCCGATAGCCTTGCGCAGCTGCTCTCCTTCCTCGTGAGCGTGCTGCAGGTCACCACGCCACTTGTTAGCGGACATACGGTGTTCCTCGAGCGTAAAGTTGAGTGCCTCGTTCTCCGCGGTGACTGAATCAAGCCTCTTCTTCAGGTCCTCCTCCGAGCTTTCCAGGGCGATGTTTGTAAGCTTGAGCTGCTCGTTCTCAATATCGAGAGTGGCGAGTCTATCGCGCATGTCGGCTGAATCCGCCTGGTATGAGTTGAGGCTGCGGCGGAGGTCATCTCGCTCCTCTGTCAATGTGCCAATCTTGTGTTCGTCATCACGGGAAGTCTGCTGCAGAAGCGTGAGCTCTTCCTCGGTGACCTTGAGCAGGCGCGCAGAGTCCGCTTCACGAGCCTCGAGGGCTTGGCGGGCCTCAGCTTCCTCGTTGAATCGAAGAGTGGCTTCCTTGAGCATTTCCTCAAGGTCCGCGATACGAACATCCCTCTCCTGGACGGCCTTGGAGTTCTCACGCTCGGCAACCTCTTCACCATGGCGCTTCAGAGCTTCCTCAACAAGTTCACGAACCTCCTCAGCCTGAAGATGGTGGCTAGTGGTCTGCGCAATAGAAGCCTTGAGGCTACCGATGACCTGGTAGATTTCGGACATATCGACCTGTGGCTGGGGAATATCGACGGGAGCCTCAAGAGTGGCAGCAGGCTTCTGGTTCGCCAAGGCCTCGGCAACGATAGAACGGATCATATCGGGCTGTACATTTTCGGCAGTTGGCGCACTAGGAGCTGAAGGCTGGTGGGATGCGAGTGCTTCAGCGATAATGGAGCGAATGGTCTCCGCTTGCAATTGCTCCACAGCTGGCGTTTGTTGTGACGCAAGAGCCTCGGTAACGATTGCCTTCAAGTCGTCAGGCCAGATCTGCTCAGGCACTGGGGGTGGCATTGGCTGAGGAGCGTGCGTCTCGAACGCTTCCAACACGATGGACCGGATGTCGTCAGGCTTGACCGATTCCACGGGCTTAGGAAGATGGGTTGCGAGCATGTCAGCAAGGATAGAACGAACGTCGTCAGGCTTGAGAGCCTCAGTCCAGGATGCAATGGTGGTAGAAGCAATCGCATCCTGGACAATGTCGCGGATCTGAGCAGCAGGAACAGGTTCGACAGGTTGTACAGGTGGCTGGTGTTGCGCAAGCGCATCGGTGACGATCTCCCGGATCTTCTCTGGGATCATTGGCTCGGGAACGGGCACCGGAATAGATGTGATCTGTGATTGGTGCATCTCAAGCGCGTCCTGGACGATAGATCGGATCTTCTCCAACTTCCTATCCTTTCCACGAGATCGGTTACGGTAGTCAACGTCGGTCTCCGCTTCGTCGTCTTCGTCGTCGGCATCGCTGTCCAGGCGTGCGCTAGTCGACATGCTACGGCGGCCGCGTCCCGGACGTTGCGACATCATTGCAAGTGCCTCTTGAATGCCTTGCAGGTTTTGCTCTAGCGGGCCAAGACGGTCCTGCAGGAGACGGCCCATGAGGTCATCAACATGCTTGTCGAAAAAGCCGCTGCGTGTCTGGACCTTAGACTCGTCTTCAGTAAGAAGACCTTCGTCCCAATCGCTCATGGGTCCGGCGTCAGCATTGTTCATGTGGCGCACAGGCGAGTCGTATGGGAGCGCAGCCCGCTCATCGTCAAACGGATCCTGCACTGATGTTGCAGAGCCCTGCATCGGCCGTCCCGGGAAGAATCCCCGGCGGGGGCTGGGGCTGGGGGCGTCACTGCGCATCTTGAAGTTGGGTTGCAGGTCATTGCGCTCAAACACGTTTGGCGTTCTCTGGGGGGAAGACTGGTCCCAAGAGGCTTCGTCGCGCTCAACGCCAAAGTCCGAGCCCTCACCATCCATATGCTTCATGACAGCATCAATGTCGTTAAAGGAAGCATCACCAAGTTGGTCGAAATCAGCACTTTCGCTTTCAGGGTAGCCCTTGTGCCTGCCAGATTCCATAGCAGTCTTGAACGAGCCGTCGTCGCTAGGCCTGTACGTAGTTGCTGGGCTTCTGCTTGCGTATCTTGGTGGAGACACTTGAGACTTCTCGGGATCTTCAACTTGAGACGGCTTCGTAACGTGGAAGCCGAAGTCGTAGCCAGCACTGTTGAACTGCGGTCGGAACTCGAAGGGCTTGGCGTTGGCAGAAAGCGTGCTCTTGTGAGAGTGCTTGTTGCCCAGTGGCTCGGGCTCCTCGGTAGTTGGCGTGGGTACATCGCTTGCGTGAGGCGTATCGTCGTCTGCACCTAGATCGCTCTCTGGTGCAGGCGAGATAGGCTCCATGATGACTTCTTCCGTCGGCTGCGACAGAGGCTCGGGGCTCTTCGACTTGGCCTTGATCTGCTCACGTACGGGCGACAGGTTCTCCTTGTCTTCTGCGACGGCCTCCCTTTCAACTTGAGGCTCTTGCTTGCTAGCGTTGGGCTGTCTGACTTCTGCCAAAGGCTGCGATGCAAGCACGGGCTGGAGTGCAAACTTGGGGACATCGTCACCATCAGCGCGGTCACGGCGAGCTCGCTTTTCGCGCCCGTCGGCTTGCTTGGGTCGGCCAGACTCGTCCTCGTGGTCCTCACGGCCTTCAGTCTCGGGAGTCTGCGAGCGCGTGTTGTCCGGACGGATGATCGGCACGGCCTTCGAGCGTGTGGCGGGCTTGACGATGTCGCTTTGAGATAGGTTGACATCTCCAAAGATCTTCGAGGAAAAGCTTGTTGGAGCAGGAGCCGGCTTGTTAGGGTTGAAGGTAGACACGCCAGGGTTGAAGGTGGGCGCATCTGGCTTGAAGGCTGGCGGGCTGGAGAAGTTGAAGCCACCGGACGGGAATGGAGAGCTGTCTGCCGCAGGCTTGAACACAGGAGCTTCAGCCACAGGCTTGAAGGCTGGGGCATCAGGCTTGAACACGGGTGCATCCGGCTTAAAGGCAGGAGCCGACACGTTGAAGTTGGCCAATGCATCGATGCTGGGCTTGTTGTTGGCTGGGACAGCAGCAGGAGCAGCAGCTGTAGGTGGCTTAACCGCGGGTGCAAAGCTGAAGCCTGAGGAGAAGGATCCTGGCTGGAAAGACGCTGCAGGGTTGAACTTGAACTCCTTAGCCTCGACATTGAGCTTCGAGATGGAAGAACGCGAAGCGTGCTTGCTGTGCATCGCCGATGCAGGCTTGCTGAATGCGAACTTGTTGTCCTTCCATGAGTTGCTGACCTGGGACGGTGCCTGGGAGTGCTGCGCAGAGCTCTGTGTAGGGTTGCGAACCTCTCCATCTTCCAAGCTGGGGTTTGTGTTCTCTGAGATGTTGGTCTTCGCACCGTCGCTGTCGGAGCGAGGGTTCTGCTGGGCAGGGAACGAGAAGGAGACAGGCTTCTGAGACTTGGTGAGGGAATGCGACTTGCTGTGCGGCTGAGGTTGGTGCAGGATCGTTCGCGAGTCCTCCCACGTAGGATTAGCCACAGCATTGGAAGGCTTGTAGGATACGTTAGTCTCTGGCTCCGTACTGAAGTCACCTCCTTCCGCAAACTGCTTGTCGATGGCTTCTTCCAAGTGATACTCTTCGTTCGCCGCCTCGCGTTCAAGGTTCTCACTAAGGTTATGGCGATGACTACGAGGACGCGGTACAGCAATCTCTGGTGCAGGTTGAGTGGCATGCTTCATAGCCGGAACCTCATCCTCCTCATCTTCATCCTCGGGTACTTCGGCCAGTGTGGAGGACGGACGCAAGCCAAGGACCTGTTGTTGCTGTTGCTGTAGAAGCTGGTTCTGTAGCTGCTGCTGTTGCAGTTGCATCTGCAATTGGAAGTCGTCCCTCTGCGTCGGCGTAATGGGAAACTGCTGGCCAGGTCTCATGCCGAATGGAGAATGTGGCGAGATCATTCCGGAAAGATCAGGCCTGCTCAGAGCAAGAGCAGGAGAGCCACTGCGTCCATCTTGAGAGTTGAAGTATCCAGCAGGCGACCAAGTACCCGAAGGTGAGTAACCGTGCTGAGCAAAGTTTGCAGGCGACCCAAAAGTTGAATGGCGATGCATGTGCATGCTGGGACGCTGGTTTCCAAAAGCAGCCGGAGACGCGATCGATTGTCGAGACATGTGCCCAGGCGAGGGTCCGAATGGAAAGCCGGCGATGCTGCCTTGCCTGGCCATGCGAAGACTGCCAGCTGAGGAGGTCGGGATCGGCGGAGTGAACCCTTGCCCTGGGTGTTGCTGTGATGACGCTGTTCGCGACATGGGAAGAGGGATATCTTCCTCGCCACCGATACTGACACCAAGTGCTGCCAGTTTAGCTTCAAGCAGAGAGTTCTCGTAGTCCTTCCACTCTGATTCCTTCGAGACGCGGACCTTGTACTGCTTGTTGGAGTTGGCGCGTTCTGCCTTGACATCCTCCTCAGCGGGCCAGATGGCACGGTTATGTGTCTCCAAGCCTCCAGTACTGAAGCCACGAGTGTCGTAGCCCTGCTGCTCGAGCTGTCGGAGCTTGTTGTTAACAGCCTCTGCAGTCATCGGCTTCGGAGGGAACCCTGGGTTGCCCCTGGGAATGTCTCGCGGTATCGAGATGATGCAGCCCTTGCCCTTGACAATGACCTTCTTTCGCATCCGAGGTTGCGCAGGTGCTGCACCTGGAGGAGCCAAGAACGACTTGCTTGGGGTGTCGGGAAGTGGCTTGTTCGACAACTCCTGGTTTACTTTGGAGGCGTCCTTGTTCGACTGCTTGCTGGGAGTTTCATCTGCCGGCTTAGCTGTTTTTGAAGGAGTCGGTACCGGCGTCTTCTCAGCCTGAGCACTGTGTCCATTCGTGCTGGGACCTGATGCGGAGTTCTGCCTGGCTGTCGCCAGCTCAGGATCCGCGTACTTTGAGGCCATCATCTTGCCGAGTGCTTCCTTCTGGTCTTTACTAAAGTGGCGCCAAAAGTCCTGCTGGTTCAGAGTCTTGTTGTTGTTCCTTTGCTTGTGTCCTCGTTTCGGCGGAGGAGCTAGTGGTATATCCGGTTCTCCACCTGATCCCTCTGTATCGCTGTTATTACTCCGCCAGTCGTTTGTCTCGCGGTTCCAACGCTCTTCTAAGAATCGCTCAACCCACTCTTGCGAAGTCGGGTTCGTGTCGGACGCGCGGGGAGTAGTGCCGGAAGCTCGTGGTTCTTTGGTGGGAGTCACTAAATTCGGCAGTCGAGAGCGGATTAGATGTTCGAGCGTGAACTGGTTCGGCGAGGCGTTCCGTTCTAGACGCGGGATAAGATGCTCGAGGTTGAACTGGTTCGGCGACTCTTCCTGCAGATCTAGCCGGGATGGAAGCAGATGTCCGAGGCCGAATGTGAGTCCGGAATTTTCCTCTTCAAAGTCGTCGCTGCCGAAATTTGTCGAGACCTGACGCGAGGGATTAAAGACGGGCGGCGGGTGTCTGTAGGGACTGCCCCAGCTGGCCGTGTAGTAGGAAGTGTCGGTTCGGTCGTGTCTCGCAGCGTTGGACGGGGTGCGCGGGTCGTTGCCCAGTATGGAAAAGGACGGGAGCGTAGGGAGCTCTGGGCTCGAGTTGGCTAGGGTGCGAGCCGGCGAGGGGGCCGTCCAGGTGGGCGAGACTGCTTCACGCGCCTCGGGCGGAGTCGAAGCTTCACCAAAGTGCCCGGGAGCAAATGGGGGCGATGAGGGCGGCGGCTGCGAGGACGGCGTGGACTGTCGAGCGTGCATCCAAGGGTTTCCCGCGTTGGCACAACTCGACGAGCTGCAACTCTTCTTTTTCCGTCTCGGATGCTGCGCGCGTCAAACAGGCGACAAATGTTCCGACGACGCTGCAGTCAGTGCTCGGGCAAAGAAACGCGCGTAGAGAATTTCGCGCCGGGTCTGCAGTAGGATTACAAGGTAATATATCAAGGAAAGGCTGGGCTTGGTGGCTAAAAGAGCGACATAGGGTGGGATAGATGCACGATTCTGGAGACGACAGGACGAGCGAACATCCCGAGGCAGCAGCAACAGCGGATGAAGCAGGAAGAGAGGCAGTCGGAGGCGTGCCAGTGTCGTCGACAAAATGTGGACACGGACAGGAGAGCAGGCGAGGCTAATGTCAGCCATGCACGCTGCTAGCGCCTGATGCCAGTTGGCGTCAGGGGCCTTTCCGCCGAGGCCACATGGGACAGAGCTGCAGCAACGCCATGCATCAAACATCCCACCCTCCAAGACCTCGTTCGCTCTCAAATTCCCTTGACCTTCAATGTGTCTTTTAACCTGGATGCAGCTGCAGTCTCATCACGCCTTCGCCTGGTGCTACGACGCGTCTCCGTCACTGCTAATAACACGACATTTCGACATGACATGGGTGCCTCATTGCCGGGACTAACCCTCGCAGCCAATCGTACAACGGCACGTCATGTCTGGATGCGTCATTGGCAGCTTCCAACGACTGGACGACAGATCCTGATACCCCGCCGAAGAAGCTGCCGGACAAATCGATACTCCAACCCTGATATCCCCCGGCTACCACACGCGTCGTATAAAACCATAGCACGTTCATACGCCTTCTCGCACGCGACGAGCATGGTGCAGCGACATTGAGAAAGGGGACCTGACTAGTGGTTAGACAACGGGAGCTAATGCTGCCCTGCAAGGATAGCGATGTCTTGACAGGCCTGTCGAGCACCCTTCTAGAAAAGACATCATGCACCCATGTACAGCTAGATGAAGAGGAAAAAGCAAATTCTCCCATTTGAAGCGATTGTGTACAAATGAATGGACGGCTGGAACATAAAGAGCTGGAATCTTTTGTCGCGTATCGAATATTACGGGCTGCACTGGCACTGTCCGCCATCGCCAGTAGTTCCGCCCACGAAAACGACTTGTACGGAGGTGAACCTAAGTTTATCAGCAAAACCGTCTACATCCAACAACAGAAGACTTACGCTGCGGTGGCTGCAAATATCTCAACAGGACGAGCTGTCGTGAAGATAGCTAGAACAGATGCGAACACTCCCGAGAAAGCTGCAACAGCCGCGATTCTGTATGGAAGATTGTTGATCATATACAGCGCAACGATAGCAGTCGACGGAATGATAGCCGATAGTACCACGTTCAGCGCTCGAGCGAATCGGTGGAGGACTTCTAGCTTGACTCGCCCTATGCCTGTCTCTTCTGATCCCGCCATCGGCTCCTGGTTCGAGACGGTGAGCGCAGTGAAAGTGTGAGTGTGATCGATACTTACTAGAATCCTTTTCCGTAGGCGAGTTGGAAGATGGGGTATCAAGCTCATTTCTAGCCATCGCGTGAATCTATCGTCGGAGGGTCTACTGGAGATGGAGATCAAATCCGGTCGCTCCACGTCGTACGCTCGATATTCGCAGCCTTCGAGGAAGCTTTTGCCTCCTTCGTCGTGTTGCAGCCAGACCCTGAGCCATTTCTGGTCGTTCTTGTTGGCGCGATCCAGTTTTGCGATGCTGGCTTGCTGGAGTAGGCAGTCATCGTCAGCGGTGTCAGTACCCAGTCTTACGATTTGGGGCATGGGTGGAGCCACACTGTAGTCTTTCAACTTCCTTCTAATCTCTAGGACCTTTTCCCATTGAGGTTTGTTCGGTGGCCTCTTCATCTCCCATACACTCCTAGCAAAGTTCTTTGTACTGGGATCCGTTCCATGCTCGTCCACATGAGTGATAACGTCGAGCTCTTGCTGCAAGCAAAGGAGCTCAGCCTGCATGTACAGCAGGCTGCGTGTGTTGAGTTCGGCGAATTGCTTGAAGATTCCAAGGCCCTGGTCTAGATTCCCTCCCATGAACTTCGCAAGTCCGGGATAGCCATTTTGAATTTGATCGATTGATATCGTAGTCATCGCAGATTGTTAAATGAAGCAGATAGAAGCCATTCGGAAGTACTGTGTTAATTGACCCCGCTTTCATAAATCGTGGTGGCGGAATTCAGCCTTGCTGCGTGCAGTCAGCCGCCCAGTCAGCCAGCTTGGCACACCAGTGGTGTCCGTCTCCAGCCCAAAGCTCTCTCAGGCTGATTTCTACTACTGTGCACTGTTGATAAAGCTGCCTAGATACCATCCTGGGGCCGTGTGAGACACTAGCAATACTAGTCGCGCTTATAGTCTTGTTCTCCCCGTACATACCCAGGTAGCACTAGGCAAGCCAGATAGAACGACAAACGAGTGGCTCTTGCAGGACATCTTCAGTACAGTAGCCCCGGGGATCATCACAAGTCAACCTCCCCACTTTTCCGTACACCCAACGTCAATGGGAACCCCTGCAGGTATACCGGTCACCTTTGCCCGTGAGACGACACAACCATGCGGATTTACATATGCACATGCATCTACTACCATTCCGAGGTGGACCCAGAGTAAGCTTTTGAGATGTTTCAGTATCATACCTAACACAAACAGAGAACCAAAGAATATACGACGAACAGCATGACGCCAACAGGAATAGGGCCCAGCAGGCAGAGCTTATACAGATTGCAGAAATCATGGGCCAGCAGCAGCAGGTCAACCAAGCACCGCAAGGAAATCAAGTACCTCAGAGACAGAGTTTACCAGATATGTCTCTTCCGCAGCAAGGAAATCAAATACCACAAGAAAGCCCATCATCGCAGGAAAACCAATCACCGCAAGAACACCAAACGCCACAACCGGATCACCAGCAGCAGGCCCACCAACAGCACCAGAGTTCAAATTGGCAATGGGACCAAGCGGGTCAGCACTACTATCAACAAGTCTACGACAATAACTGTATGTGTTTTCTGCCCTAACGGAACGGGTCGGTAATTAATATGATGAAACCAGCTCAGCAATGGTACACAGTGTGGTGGGACTACAACGAGGGGCGCGCATACCGCACTTTGAGGGACGAGCAAGGTTAGTAGCCCTCATGTTAGATCAGAAGCCTAGACAGTGTGATGACGTGGATCAATAGGTCGTGATTACAGTGCATGGGTATAGTCCATCATCCGCCGGGGTCCACGATTCTTATGAAGCTGAGACCAAGCACTTAGCAAACCAAAATCCCAACTCTATACCTCACGCCTTCCCACCCATCCCATAACTATCATACGGAAACTCCTCCAAACTCCCATGCAACCTCCCCCACCCATCATCAATCTCCCCCGGCATACCAACCCTCCTCTTCCCCTGCGTCACCTCAACCTCACTCTTCTGCAACTGCTTCTCCTCATCCTCCTTGTGTTCGCCCGTCAACCCCGCCAGCACCTCCTTCTCCCTCCCCTTGTACTCAACCAGCAGCTCCGGATGCGGGCACCACACAACCTGCATACCGGCCCGCCTCCCCGACTCAACGCCCGGCACGCTGTCTTCGAAAACGAGACATTCTTCTGGTTGGATGGGTGGTTGACCTTCTACTTCGAGGGACTTGTTGAGCGTGGAGAGGGCGAGGAGGTAGATATCTGGTGCGGGTTTACCGCGTCCGGCAGGTATTCTTGGGTCGTCGCCGAGGACTTGATGTTCCTTCTTGAAATGTGCAAACAACTCGCCCAAATGCTTGCTCTTAATCTCAAAGTTGTTCTTGTTACTGCTTGTTGCGAGCGCCATGTGTACGCCTCTGGACTTCAGCCCTGCAAGTAGGTCCATAACCCCCGGCAACGGCTTCGTGGTGCTGAAGATATCTTTCTGAAGTTCTTTTTGCTCGACGAGGAATTGCTCGTGCGAGATGGGGAGTTGCGCCCAGTCGTGGAAGATTTTGCCGGCTTGGGGGCCGGGCCGGCCCTGTAGTTGCGCTTTTATGGACCAGGGGAGGGGTGGGCGGCCGTAGCGTTCGAGGATCGTGTTGGTTACTATGCTGTAGAGATCTTCGGAGTCGATGAGGAGGCCTGGAGAAGTTGTCAGTGGTGGTGAGGGGGAAAGTGATGGGTGGCTTACCGTCCATGTCGAAGAGCGCTGCCCGGATGCGGGGTGGTGGGGTTGTACTGAGGATGGTCAGCATGGGGGAGTGTTATATCCGAGGATGTTTCTTACGTAGAGCTCATCTTGGGCGTATTTGGGGGGCTTGTAATCAAGTATCTGGCTGTTTTGCGATGTTATGCAGGTGCAATTGAGGCTTGTCGAAAGTTGGGGTTAGGTGAATGTTTACCCCACGTGGCCGAGGCACGCTAGTCGGACCCCCGACCACAGACGTCACTTCGAAAACAGATCGACCTTTTCTCCAAACACACCCGCATAACCCATACACACTTTACGCGTCAACTCTGCTTTGGTATCAAGCCACCATGTCATCACAGGAAGAAACAGCGACAAAAGCGGAAGCATCTGCAATCGAGCCCTCAACCCCAGAAATCTTCCCCCCAGACGAAGAGAAAAAGCTACTCGACGAATCCAACACAGAGAAAGCTTCAGCGAACAAAACGTTCACATCCGGAGAATACAACGGCGCTATACAAGGCTACGAAAAAGCCCTAGCAGTCTGCCCCTCGTACCTCGAATACGACATCGCCGTCCTCCGCTCCAACATCGCAGCCTGCCACCTCAAGCTCTCAGAATGGAAACAAGCCGTAGAATCCGCGACACAAGCCCTCGAAGCACTAGATAGGATAGACCCACCAGCGCAAAAAGAGCCAGAAAACGATGGCGCAAACGCAACAACCGGCGGCGGCGCAATCGCCGAAATCGACGACACAACCGAACTCTACCTCGACGCTCTCACGCGGACAAACCACACCATAAACGACGTCCACAAGCTCCGCACAAAAGCCCTGCTCCGCCGCGCAAAAGCCCGACACGAAGTCGGTGGCTGGGCCTCGCTCCAAGGCTCTCTAGAAGACTACCAAGCCCTTTCCAAACCGCCCCACCAGCTCTCGAGCCTCGATCAGAAAGCCGTACAAGCCGCTTTACGGAAGCTACCGGCGGAGTTGGATGAAGCGAAGAACACGGAGATGGCGGATATGATGGGTAAGCTGAAACAATTGGGCAATGGGATACTCAAGCCGTTTGGGTTGAGTACGGAGAACTTTCAGTTTACAAAGGATGAGGGGAGTGGGGGGTATAGTATGAATTTTAATCAGGGGGGGAAGTAGATCATGTTGGAATCGAGTAGGTTGAGTGCGTTGAAGAGATGGGTCTCAGACTCGTAGAGCAGACACGGATGATGGGACTATATCCATGCAGTGTAGTTACGACCTTAATCATCATGTCAATACACTAATCGTCATGTTATTGTGAGAAAGGGAGCAACAAACCATGAACATCTGTCAAAACGCGATATGCACGGCCCTGATCATAGCTCCACCATTGTATATACCATTCACGTGCTAACATAACACACCTATCGTTAGCTGTAAACCGCATATCATCAAGATCGAAAATTACACATACCAGAATCATCATAAACCTGCCGGTAAAAATGCCCCGCCATATCTGCTCGCCATTTCAGCGGTCCCTGGAGTTTGACACGAACGCGGTGGCGCTGGTATACTTCCGGCGGGGGCTGGTCGTCTTCTTGGTGTTGTTGACCAAATAGTCCTACGATTTGTGTTAGTTGACTTCGCTTTGAGGGTATCTGTTCTGGGCGTTGTTACGCTGGCAGGTGTGGATGTCTTGTGGAGCTGGATTTGATTAGATGGTTCGCTAGAGCATTCTCGGGGCTTACGCATGGGGAATGGCCTTGTTGGAACGGGGTCGAAGGTAACGATATCGAGATCTGGCGGTGGGTTTTCTAGCATTTCGGCGTGGTTGAAGTGAAACAGAAAGGTGATTATGTAGGCTAATTTGAACATCATCTTGCTTGATGTACCGACGTAAAGACGCGGTTATTGGAAGTGTTACTCTTGGCTGGATGCTGTCAGAACCAGGACTTGGTGTTGATTGTGTGTGATCATGAAGCTGGCGACTGCAGGAGCTCATTATATCCGTCATGCTTTACGTTCTGAGGGCTGCTTCAATGTGGCGCGGTCGTGTTGAACATTTTAGGCTACAGTACTGAAGAAACATATTCAACAAGTCTGACTGTGGGGGCGTATGGCTGTCAAAGGGCTTCACCGGTCTGTCAGGCTGATTATTTGCGTAGCTGACGTGTGGTGCAGCAACGCCGGGAGAGGTATACAGGCTTTTGCTGACAGACTTAGGCTCACCTCCGTACCGTTCGGTTTCATAGGCGGGCCGGTGCGTGTACTATACATGTGAGAAAGATTTCCAAATGTCATAGAGTCTTGCATCGGACGACCCTGCATTTTGCAATCTAGATTCAGTCATGAAAACATGATTCGTATTCGTTTGTCATATACTCCATCATGATGTGATCATTAACCCGCACTGCGCACCAGCACGCTAGGATAGGACTCGGAAATACGCAAGCGACCTATAGATGCAACCTCTCTTCTCCATCTTTCAGTCAAAGGTATCAGACTCCAACCCCTCTTGCCTCAAAAAGAGATTGAGGCAGAAACGCCCGTCACCAGTCATGCGCGCCATGCCCACCCAATCAATCTCGTGCAGTCATACGCTTGTCGCAAGAAGATGGAGCAACTACGCCACTTCCTCAATCTTGGGCTTGTCGCCTGATGCGGCCGCCTCGGGGGTCTTGTCCTGGCTGGCCTTGTTCTCGTCGTCGTTCTCGAGTTCGGGCATGTCGTCGTCATCGTCGTCGCTGTCGTCTCCGCCCATGCCACCCATACCTGGCATGCCTCCCATACCGCCGGCACCGCCCATACCCTGCATCATGCTGGCCATGTCCATGCCCTCCATTCCGGGCATACCGCCGCCGCCAGCGCCGAGCTTGCTGAAGTCGATGCCGCCGAAGCCACCGTCGCCACCGCCACCGCCGGCCATTGGGTTCATCTGGTTCATGGACTCGTCCTCAGGTGCCTCGTCTTGCTCGTCCTCGT